GGAGAGAATACTAGTCTTTTCCTGGGTATCCTGTAAACCTTGCCTATCTCTCTGCTAGACGTTAAGCCAAAAAAAAAAATGGCAAGCAAAGATTAACAGAGTGGAAGTCAGTCATTTGGTTGCTGCTGGTAATTTGGGAACTGCTGCATATCAGACCACCAATAGAAATGCTAAATGGGCCCGAAAAATCCACCAGCTGCTTAGGGTATAAACACTACAACTGTATAGGCCTATAGATCTTTACAAACTTTTGAAGAGCATGGACATTTTATTGGCTCCTTTCCTTAGATCACATTATAGCATTGGCTTAGATGATCCTTCAATATTAGCCAAAAAAGTTGATCAGCTGTTCCTGAGAAAAAGTAATAGAACACAAAGGATAACAGAACAGAAAAAAAAAAACCTCCCTCAAAATGAGAACTGAGTTTCCTGGAAAAATGCCACTAGACTGTTCAGGGATTAGAAAATTCACATATTTAACGTCAACCTCTTAAACAACTTTCACCAGATGTATCGGGGTGAAGAGACCCTCCCTACAGAGAGTCCTGAGGGATGTGAGACCTGTCTGACTCATAGCTAAGAGACAGTCAAATGGTTCTGAAAGGTGATACCCATTAGAGGAATCGTAGAAAAATTAAATGGCTTTCTCTGGAGAAAATATTGCTTTGTTTCACCTTGCCAACGAGCTACGTTTTCACTTACAAATCTAGTGCGTTCCTAACTCATGCCTGGAGACACTGCAAACTCCTAAACCTCACAGGATTAGGCTGGCTTGACCTCAGCTAACATTAAAGACCACTGCCAACCTTCAGGTGTTGTGCAGCATGAGAACCAGAGGAACGTGTGTGGACCATATGGACTTCAGGAACACACAGCTTAAATCTGACATGTGTTTTATCTTCAGGCTCTTATGAAAAGAATAGGCAGCTTTGTGGAAAAAATTGGAAATACTTTTTTTGTAAAAATTAAAATGGGATATTAGCAGAAGCATAGTAACCTAAAGTGAAACCAAACTCAGGCTTACAAAACATTGCTGGCAGGCAGGTTTATAGTGCAGAAGAAATGCTGTAAGCCTCTTCTCCAAAAAAATAGTCTTACCTGTCTGCCAGCAATTTTTTCTTGTGAATGTATGCTGAAATGCACATGTGCACCTCAGTGTACCATTCCAGCGTTTGCCTGTTTCCCCTGCTGTATGCAATGGTTCCTTAAATCCCTATATGACAATAGGACTAAGCAATAATGAAGGTCACCCCTAGCACTGAGAACTGAGCGATCAAACATCTCTGATCACTTTTTGCTTGGCTTTCAGTCTTCAGTGAGCCAGTGACTATCAGTCACCAGCTCTCTGCTCTGCACCCCCCAGCGCTCACTGGAGCATTGAACTGTGGAGGGGGCAGGATCGGCGGGTTAAGCCTCTCAGCGGTGCGCTGAGAGGCTGAACCAGTTGATATTCAGGCTACTGGGTGGGTCCTGACATTAAAGTTGGGATCTTTCCAGAGCCTGGGCTCTGTGACATCAGCCATCAGCTGACAGTGGGTTTTAGCCCGCTGTAAGCTGAAAATGGATCACAGGAGTGCAGAACTAAGCAAACTAAACATGATCTATAGAAGCATGACTGAAAACATTTTGGATATACTTCTCCTTTAAACAGCAAAAATGCTGTGTGAGGCAGCATTGCTGGATGGGACCTGACAAGGTATGTTAAAGCAGAAATATATCCACCTCCACTCCAGCGATGTGGTCCCTTGCCGGACGCTGACATGTTCACCCAGTCTCCTTCAGAGTTCTGATATTTGCATGCATGGCAGTTCGTTCATCTTGGAAGATGCCACAATTGTGCGATGAAGCAGGTAAGAATACTTTAAATGTACACTGAGCTGTCTATGTGCAGCTCTGCGCCATGATGACATGAGTCCTGTGCACATGCACTAGAATGACATCATTGTGCCCCTGCCAATCAAGCATCTGAAGAGTCTGAACTCAGAACAAAGGCTCTGGAGAATATGAAAGCACCTGTGACACCATTGCACTGGAGAGGATTGCATGGCATATAAGTCTGCCATTATGTGCTAATATACTCCCCAGGGGCCATTTTTAATTTTTTATTTCAAGGTTTAATTCCTCTTTATATTGTAGTAAAGTCATGCCCAAGCCTGCATCAGTCTGATCACTGAGGTGGGAGAAGCCTGAGGAAATATCTCCTTCTGCCCCCCCCCCCCCCCCTTAGACCTATCACAGTGGGTAGAGGCATTAATTTAGATTTTTTTGGTTTTCCACTTTGCTGTTAAAACATTATGTTATGTTAACCCAGAGCCATCTGTTAAATTAAATCATCCCTCACTTCAGTGGCTGGCAGCCCCCTTGTCGCTTTTCCTGATAGCAGTATCTGGGTAGAATTGTTGCAGCTGTCAGTAAGGTGTGAGAATGGAAAAATGACAGCAGTAGTCAAGGAATTGTGTCAAGAAAAGCATCAGTCAGCCCATTATAATGAAATGGGACAGTGGAAAAGAGTTTTGTATGCGGGATGGATAGTTTGGTGCACCAGAACAATGCCTAGGTGAAAAACAATAAACCCAAGTCGGTAGCTTATATTCTCTGTATGCAAATTAGAACCTGACTTTTACTAAAGCTGAACTTCAGGAAAGCATCTACGACATCACTGAAATGTGGATATGGGAACTATGCTACCTGCCAAAATAATTTTACGTATCTAGGCAGTTAGTTGTCCAGTCACTTCTGCTAGACATAGCAACCAAGTCCTCAACTTGCAATAGATCACCTTGATCAAAAACACACCCCTAGCCTGTTGAGTGGACATTGAAAGAGAAGCAGCACTATAATGAGGTTGGTTTTCTGCTCATTCGGTTCTCTTTTTACTGTTAAAATATGTGTGCAGTGGTAGAGTCTAATTGGCTTCCAGTGATGTCCCTCCCTCTGCCAGTCAGGCACAGTCGATAATTCAGTGGATAATATATATATATATATATATATATATATACTGTATATATATATATATATGTATTTTTTGCATAGATACATAATTGTGTTCATTTATTTATTTTAGTTTGGAGTTCGCAGTATAATGTCTTACACCATGACTTTTTTGTTAATTCGAAAACACTTACTTTACATTGACTAAACATGGGTCATTGTTAGTGGGAATTCATTATAATGTAATAGGTGTGAATGATAATCATAGGATTAAGGCCTACTTTACACTTGCGGTTGGGGAGTGTTAAAAACGTGGCCCAACCACTCCATCTAAACTGCAAAGACAGCAGACAGGGGTGTTCACATGGTGCAACTGCTGTCGTACTTAGTGGCTAGTACCTCCTAATGAATGTTCCCTATTCCCCCCAAATGGGGCTAAGCATATGGTTGTGGGACTTTGGTGAAGGTTTTTGGGGGTTAAAACAGAAGGTTTTTGTAACCTGAAGAACAATCAGAGTTGTGCTTTGAAGTCAGAGTTTGATTATATTGTGCCCTCACTGGTTCCTTCTTCCCACCCTCATCAACATGCTAATGATTTTGTATTTTTCATTACATGCCATATTTTAGACCCAGTAATGTCATCACTGGGTTTCTGTGTTTTCCTCTGGAATGCAGGAAGATCACGTCTGGTTGGAGGGGTCAGCAGAGTGCTGTACACAGCACCCTGCCCCCCATTCTGCAAGTAGTGGGCTGACTCTCAGGAGGAGAGATGTACAAATATCCAAATGTCTCAATGAGTGAATAGCAATCTGGAGGGGTAGGAATTCCTAAGCAATGGTCACATGTGATGCCAAGCCTCCATGATTGAAATAACAAAAATCCCAGGAAAGTGGGCAGGTGCAGTCTGTTTCATCTACTGTAGATGGCGTTCAAACGAGTGGTACCACAGCCTGGAGAGGAAGTCAAGGGAAGCTTGGTTTCTCTATAGTTTCCTGGGTCATAGAGCAGGGTTCTGATTGGCTATGCTGCATCCATGTGACCTCTGACAGCCATATTGGGTCACCAGGGTCTTTATAAGTCCATGCCCCTGGGTTTTGGCGTGCATTTGCCAAGTGGCTAGAATAGGAAGAGAGACCCCCGTCTGACAGGGAAAGTGACTAAAGGCAGGCAAAGCTTCCTGATAAGTAGGGACAGGCTAGGGATTTGCTATCCTGCAAGGAAACCTTGCCTTTGGGACTGGACCGGCCAGGCTGCACTTCAACAGATCCTGTCGGTGCATTTCTTCCCATTGCATCTCTGCATTTGATATGAACTTTGAGTGTTTTCCCCAAGGGGCATTCTCCCACTGGGGTGTTTGTATTTTGGCATTCCCCTTAATACAAGTTCCAAGTTTTATTGCACCAACTCTGTGGCTTTACTGCCACCGCACTTCGCTGCACCTCCCCACAAGTAAGGCTGGGGAGGAAAGTTAGATGGTACCAGGAAATAAGACAGGCTCTAATTCACATTGTGAGAAGCTCACAGTGTGCAGTGACATCAGAGTAAGTGATTTAAGTCCAGGAGAGGAGCTGGGACAACTGTGCAAGACTGAACATAAGACTAAAGTTCCGGTTAAAAATTGTACATTGCTAAGTGCCAGCCAAACAAGCTACAGACTTCTTACTTTCAGAATGTTAATGCCCTGTACCGCCCACTGCATGTATTATTTTAACCTGAACAGGTTACAGCTGACAGTGTATGTGTGTGTTGTTTTGGCAAACGATGAATGAGTTTCATTTTCCCGTCCTCTTGAAGGGTCACGCCTTTCTAGGAACATATGCGAGTGTTGGGGGATGGAGGGGCTAAGGTTAGATTTGGGACCCTTCACTTCTCAAGAGTGACGTTATGCACTTCAATACAGTTTACAGTTTGTACAAGGTATTAAAAAAAAACACTTTCATGGAGCAGAGTGTGTTTTAAAACATTGTGAATGGGCCACTATGTTCAAAAGAGACTGCTGTATCCTGTAACTTTCTGTTGGCCCTATACAAAGGCCCTTCTGTCTGAACATGCAGCGACTTATGACCTACCTGTACATAATCCACACTTCTTCCCAGTGCTTTGAATGCCGTGTACATCACTTCTCTCTTCCCACCCCACTTCTGCATGATGCAAATGTATCGGTTGCTGAGCACCAACTGAGTCACATGTTGCATGCTCTCTTTGTGCGATTGCTCCGTCTCCCCAGGGCCCTTTTCGTGGAAGTTATTTTTCCAGATGTAAGTGGCACTTAGGTCACTGCCCATGATTTCGCTAAACGTGTCCATCATGTAGATGTCGTCTTCGGAGTTGCCATCAATGACCATGATGACTTTTATCCCAGGGTAGGTCAACCGTTTGACGGAGAGTAAACATTTTCGTAAGTAGTCAGGATCCTCTTGATATGCAGCAATACAAAGGGCGACGGACTTGTTGAGTTTTATAGGGGTCTCCAGGGAACGTTTCATTTTCCTGTGCTCTAAGTAAGCAAAGAGGCTTTGGATGAGGAGGTGGAGGGCTAAGATTGCACCGTACAGTCCAAAAGAGAAGTAGTAATTGTCCGTTTGGATAAACTGATACCCTACTATATAAGCAGCCGTAATTCCTAGTAGGAGAGACACTCCAAAAAGGGTTGTTCCAATTATTCTTAAGATGCAAATAAATCGTTCACAATGCATCTGCAACAAAAAGAGACACAAAGTCTGTTAATGCCATATTTGGAAAAATGCGTTATAGGGATCATATGTTAGCAGGTAGCCAAAATCATGAGCCAGTTTTCCCTTGGTGCCACTGACTTGGAAGAATAACTGTTTTGGTCAATAAACTCCAAAGTGACCAATAGATTCCCCCAGGACCTAGCTCTGACAAAGGTTTCTGCAATGAATGATGCTATCTCTTATACTTCCAGGACATTTCTATATTCCATTCATACCAAGAGTCTGCATAAGCTCCTGGTTCATCTCCAGTTTGATTTCTGTTAGGCAGTGGAGTGTGAGAAGATAGTATAAAGACATATGGTAGAAGTATTTTAAATGCAATTTCTTATCTTTAAATAAAAATCACTTCTAGACTATATAATCAACACAAAATAACATCGCAACACAATGTCTTAGTGGCTAACACTTGCAGCCCCCCCAAGTTTCTCAGTTCACATCCCAACCAGGGCTACCTGCATGGAATAGTATTTTCTCCCTGTGCTTGCTTGGGTTTACTTCAGTTTCCTTCCATACTCCAAGGACATTCTAATACAACCTTCTCAACCTTTGTATCCCAGGGGAACCCCCTAAAAATAACTTTCAGGTCTCAGGGACCTCTTACTAAAACCAACTCAATAGGAACAATAGGAAAGATGCTTCTTACCTTGGTGGTCAGTAGGAGTTTGAACAACTTCAGTGTCAGTCAGAATACCACCCATACAGGCAGCTAAAAATATCATTGGTGTCATGCTGCTGTCTCTACCATTGGCCCTGGAACTATGTAGGCACCATTAACTAGGAGGTCTTATACCAAAAGCTGAAGTAACCCCAGTGTTCCATGGAATCCTGGTTGAGAATCAATGTTCTAATAGATTAAATGGCTCCTCTTCAACGTTGTGGGGCAGGGACCTTAGATTGTAGTGGGGGCAGGGTTTGATGACACGTTAAGTGTGAGTCAACCTATGTATGAAGGCCTAAAACAGCTTTTCCCATTCAAATAATTTCTAGGTCTTAGGGAACCCCAGTAAGAAGAAAGCTTCTTAAATTAGTGACAAATAAGACATTTATTATTAAAAAGATATGCTTGAGCTCCAGTCCAGTGTCTTTGCTTAGGCTGACATGATGTCATCATTCTGCTGTAGGCAGGAGGAAGTATAAAGACAAACAAACAAAACCAGGATCTTCATGCAGACTAAAAGGATTCACAATGGCAAACAAAGAGGTGCAGCCCTTAAAAAGCTGAATAACAAAGAAATAAAGGGTGCACTTTCATCGAATCCATTACCGTGGTACACCATGTATTTAATATGTAATCAAATAGATATATACTCACAAAGGATAATAAAAGCAGTCTGCAATGACAGTCCAATGCTTGCCCCAATTGGGGATAAACTGACGCGTTTCAGGAGGTACTACCCCCTTCCTCAGAGCTGAAGTGTGTGTACACTTCAATTGGGGTAGATTGCACTGGGTCATTGGGACTATTCATACTGCTTTTATAATCCTTTGGTTTGTGAGTATATATCTATTTGATTACACAATAAATAAGCGGTGTACCACGGTAATGCACAATGAGAGTGCACTCTTTTTTTCTTTGTTTAGAAGGAAGTATTTGTTCATTCTCCTCTCTCAGTTTTTTTACTACAATGATAGCAAGTCAGAAGGTGCAGTAAATAGCTATAGAAGAGGCTGATATGTGTTAGACATTTGTGAACACAGCCAAGAATTGCAGAGACATAAAGACTCACATGATTGTGTCACCTTTGAACTAGCATCTCAGTGCAGGAAGTTAATGCTGTCCCTGGATGATGTCCACACAAAGTTAGCACTACGCTCTTAGAGAAAAAAGGAGATAAGGACATGCTCAATGGGTACTGTGAGCTCTGTGAGAAGTGACAAATAAATACATGTAAATGTTTCTTTGCTAGGTCCCCTTTAGAGCCTATCTCAGAGGAAAGAAAACAATCTTCCCTTGTAAGGAGGCTGCCCCTGCACTACAATGGCTAAATACTTGTTTAGGTTTAGTTTAGGTCTAGTTTAGGTCTAGGCCTAGGTTTAGTTTTTTTTAGTTGCCTGATTCCACACTTCTCAGCAGCTTTTTTGTCTTTCCCGGAGTTTTGTCTTTCCCAGAGTTCAGCTTCAAGTACTGTATAAAGTTAACTCCACAATGATGGGTATAGTACTTTACTTAGATGCCCCTTTATGTTAGTTAAAACTGGGTGTGTTGGGTGTAGCCCCTGTGGACTGGGGTTAGGTAGGATCTGATTTAATGGCACAGATGCTTTTAGTCAACTTTTCTCCTTTAGAACCCCAGGACAACCCAGATTATGAGCTTAGGTGGTAGCTCATTTTTTTTTTTCAGGGAATAGATTTGGGTCCTGGGAACAGCATGATAAGCTTGCTGCTGGCCTTTCTTCCCTTTGTATTTTATCAGCCAGCGGAGCTTGGTCTGATTAGGCTCATCTCACATCATGCCTTGGCTTCAGCCGCCTCTTGGAACAACACCCTCTTACATCATGCAACAGCAAATGTTGCTTTTCCTGTGCCGTCTAAAGCAGCACAAACGCAGCCCAACTTAAAATGTTACAGTCTGCACAGTAGGATCAACTTTGCCTCAGACTGCTAGGAGAAGTTAGAAAGTTTACGGCAAGAGCGAAATCTGATTGCCTTAGTATAAAGTTTCAGCTAATAGCAATTCCTGAAGAAAAATTCCACATTTAGACTATTCTCTGTAAAAGTCCACTGTTAGTACAATTTTGGAATATTGAACTATCTACTGGCTAGCAATAAGCAAATCTTTCATGATTGGCTTTATCGGACATTTGATGAATTTAGAGCTGGGATTTTCTCTTCAAAGCTAGGGAGAAGAGATAACTGATTCAAAAAAGGTCCATTGAAGTAAGTTAGCCATTCAGTGCCCTATATTATCTTTAAGATGGTAAGGAGTATGGGTATATGTAGCATTGATGTAAATACCCAAACCCAGTTCCTAATTATATTGTCAAAGGTGGAATACCCAAAGGATGCATGCTATGCCATCTAAATAAATACAGGGTGCTAGCTAGATGAATATCTTTACGCAAAGACCCACTACATAAACATTCACATCTGTCTAAAATTTGTATGCATATTTATGTAATGGTTGCTCTGCGGTACAAATGTATAGTGGTTTCAGGTGTACCATCTTACAAGAAAACTGATAGATCCACACAAGATTTATATTTACATTAGTACACGCAACACATGCATGTTTAAAAATATTCATAGAGAATCAGAACACAGCCAGAATCAGGGTTGCAGAGACAGAACTGGAAATATCCACATCAGGGGCGGACTGACCATTTGGAAACTCGGGCACTGCCCGCGGGCCTGGGGTTAGTAGGGGGCCCCATGAGATGCCCCTGGTACCTTTTTCATAGGCTTTTTTGAGTTTGGGCAAGGACACAGGGGCCCCATGATCCCCTATTGCCCAGTGGCCCCATGAGTTGTCAGTCCGCCCCTGATCCACATACAGCAGGTTCATAGATGTACAATCAGGATTAGGTTCTAGATGTATGGACCCAGAGTGAGTGAGCGTGCATACACTTTGCCACCAACGAAACTGATCAAGCAGGGGCATCAAAAATGAAGTTATAGATGACACTGCTGGAAAAGGAGGCAAGCTGGAAACTGGAACGTTGAATGGAAACAGCATGAAGCTCAAGCAACTGATTGTTCCCCCTACAGGCCCTTTCAGGGTGCATCAAGGAGAAGGACCCTATACAGAAGAATGTCCAACAAACGTTAACCACTGCTTTAGGTCGATCCACATACTACCCGTCCTCAGAATCCTTAAATTGAGGTGCTTGCCCAATTTGCAACCAAAGAAACTTCAATAAAATAGCTGGATGGCAGCATACTGTTGTAAGGACACTCCAAAAATCTTCATTGAAGAAACATCTACAAATAAAAAAATCACAGCACCAGGTCTAGAGGAGATATGTTGACCAAAATATTTCCTCCAGATCTGATGCTGTGATGTTTTTTTTGTAGATATTGCTTCAATTTAGATTTTTAGATGTCCTTTCAACAGTGTGCGGCCATCCACCTGTTTTATTGAAGTTTCTTCCCTATACAGAAGGATGTTTAAGGAAAATTCACTCTGCTGAAAGTGTTACTAAACCCACAACAGTAAAATCAGGCTGTATATGCAGTAAAGCATGCTTGTTATACTCACTGTGGAAAGGGGTTAATCCTCTGCATTGTGTAAAAAAAGCTGTTTGATCCTGACAACTCTGATCCTCCCCTTCTTCCATCTCCCTCCTTTTAACTCCTTATCTAGCCATCCATTGTTTACAAATGTCATGTGACCTGCTGTGATTGGTCACAGCAGTCACATGGTACTGACAATGGGCCGGTACACAGACTGGTGACAGATCTCGCCACAGCATGCCCCCCCGATCTGGAAGGATATCATATGATGCCCATCTGAATTGTTGAAA